GTCTTTGACTTCCCCGTATTAATAGCGAGCTCGACGAGCTGGCCCGAAGGGCCTGCTCGCAAAGCGAGCTTTACGGTAAGGCGAGTACCTGCTAAGTGATAGTTTTGAAAACTTTCGTCCGAAGTACCGAATTGGACACATCGCAACTTTTCGAATTTAAAGATAACGATAAAAACTGAGGAATTCTGACTGAAAACGGATGTGTAGACTGGTCATCCGCGCACGTCTATGGGAACCATAATTGAACAGGGAACCAGAATAACGGAAGCTGTGTATAAAATATCGAATTACAGTTTTAAAACGGAAAATGTAAAATGAAAATTGAAGGCGCCATTTTGTTTGAAAAATTTGAAAAATAGAAACAATTTTTTGTCGAATTTTGTTGTGAAAACTATCTAGAATGAAAGAAAATGGTCTAACTAAGAAAATGAATCCGAACACCAATATCTTTTATTCAGTTGTTAACGCTGTACAGACGTTTAAAGTATTGTTTACGCGACGTCACAATGTAGCGCCAAACAGCACGTGCAAAACAATCAAGTACGCTATTTTCATGTCGCAAAAGTTTTAAGTTTTAAATTTATTTCACTTTTAATAATCTTTATTTCGCTTGAAAAATTAAAGAGTGAAATAAAATAAACAAACAAAGTTTTATCAACGTTTTCAAAACTCGTTATTCATTTAACGACATGGGCGGAGCCATATTTAACACAGTACGTGTGACGTCACACGCACTCTTCACTGAATTTGAAATATAAATTAAAAATGAGCGATTATTTCATACTATTTCACGTTAAAAGTACATCGAGCTCGCTTGAGGCTTTGCCTTTTACATATTATGAAATTAGGCAAAGCCTATGAACGGGGAAGTCGTTAAAAATGCTTTCATTCTTTCCGTTTTAAAGGTGTCATTCGATATTACATACACCGCTTCCGTTTTCATTCGGAACACTCGACGATTATTTTAATCCGAAAAGTTGAGATTTGTTCCGTTATCGGAATACCCGCCTATTATCATTGATATACATTGTAAATGGCGGCGCCCGACTAGAACTGACACTGAAAATTTCATTGATAGGTATAGAATTCTATATATTTTTTAATTGTTTTTTATTTGATTTTCTTTTAAATATTCACGTGTAGTCTATAGCCGGGCAAGCCAAAGCCCGGACCCGCTTCGCGGGCCCGGTCTTTGACTTCCCCGTATTATTTTATTCTTTGAAAAATAAAAATTAATGATTTTTGTTTCGAAAACAAACGTCTTATACTATTTGGCCATAGTGATGCTTCTCCAATGAAATATTTAATGATAATCCACTGATGGCATATCGTACGGTTTCACATGACATTTCATACGTTGCAAAAGCCCCAGTTTTACAAGGATTGAAGCACCCTAGGAAAATCTTCTTCCCGGAAAAATATATAGGCCTGGTAACATAGAATGTATTGTATCGCATCAACCTTTCTCCGTAACTGCTAATCCGTAAGTCTATATATAGAAAAAATAAATTCGTTTCAATCCGTTTGATCATCGCATCATGCAGTGATTTGTATTTGATTTTTCAGCTGTTACACACCAGTTGCATGCTTGATTTGTCATAGTGCACAGTGCGATATCTTAAATAATGGGCACTTTTTTAAAAAAAGTGTGCGTGATTTCAAATAAAGCAAAGATATGTTAGTTCATTGGTTGTATAACCGTGACCGTAGACAAGACAAAAAACAACAACAACAACGAACCAAGAGTCACCGGACTATATTAAAATCAGACTGGAAAATAACGAATAAATTCAGATTAAGGATATATAATGGAATATGATCTTCAGTTTAGACACAGTTTTGTCGGGAGCATGGATGTATGTGTTTTTTAAAGTTTTAATCATTTTTCCTTAATGTAATTTAGTACTATGAGGCTCAAGTTGTGGAAACTTTTTTCCTGTATAGCAATTCTCGTATATTTTTTCCCCTGAGAAAATACTTAATAATCGTTTTCATTAAAATAAATTTCAAAATATATCTTTTACAATGTGATTAAAAAATTATTATCCAACGATGGTTAGCTTAATGTTTTAGATGTATGTGGTCATTCAACCAATCAGAAACATCCAACACATTTCTGATTGGCTCTCACGTTTTTGGGAATCAAAGTTTGGTCATTTACATGTTCTATAACAAGTAGCCGGGGTTCAAATTTGAATATTTCTATTTACCATGCGTTTAAACAGATATACTATATCGAACTCTACTTTAATGGTAATTGTGTTTATATAAAAGCACCTGGGTGTTATTCCGTAAGTATATAAACCATAAATACCTTTACATCACTTGAAAAATACATTTTGGTTGATTCATCCATTCCAAAAATATTTTTCCCTCAAGAGTTACCTTGACTTAAATTCAACAGCTTGTAATTTCATTAGCATGTCCATGTTTTGACTCTGACATTGTGCAACTAGAGAAAAACAGAATCCCCAAACGAAAGCCCAACACGACAAAATTGAAAATGTTGCAGGCTCGGTTAAATCGAGCCGGCTCACGGACGGTACTGGTAAGTGCAAGTTACCGTCCACGCCTGCTAGCACCGGCTTAAGCAGAATTCAACATTTAAACACGAAAATTGTGAAATTTTGAATTAAGAAACATCGCAGATGTGTTCATACGGCGGTTATCATGGAATCTTCAATGTGACACTTGTAGTGCCATTCCATGAAAAGCGGCGTATTGTCCAAAAATTAAAAGAATGTATGTGCCCTAAACGAGAAAACAATGGGCGGAACTAAATAATGTAAACTTAAAGACCTGCAGACTGCTAGGATGTGTATTATACACCTTGAATTTATTGACGTACTATACATTTTTTGCAGACGTTGAGGTCTGGCAACTTCATTGGATATCGCAAATACTCTGTATATATTTTTTATTCCATTGCGCAATTGTATTAGTCTAGTGATAATGTGTTATATCATTACTGTTGACAACAAAACCAAGTTTAATCATTTTAACATGATTGCCCAGTTAAAGTTGTAGAAGGTCGCATGAAGACTTTGCGGTATTCACAGTCAAGATACCTCAGTCAAGTTCCATGATGATAATTTGATGATGTGTTAATGTAGTGATGTACGTACAGTGCATTTGTGCACTGCAGAAAGTATCTGGAAGACAGCATGGCATGGTTTGCACAGACATTTTGAGGGACATTTCTATTCCTTAACCACATTTGTTTCACTAGATCAACAAGAGAAAATGCGACATGACACTAGGATGATGGTGAACTATATAAAAGGATCAATATATGAGGGATGTGCGAAATGTATTGCTTATTTCTATCTGGAGACTTCAGAATTCATGTTAGCTCAACAGTGTTCATATCATGCCCTCAAAGTACTCCCCGTGGCTAAATGCAAAGTTTCAGCCGATGTATCCAGTTCTTTAAGCGTCACGGCATGCTGATTTGGGTTGCACAGTAATAAGGTACTGATGAATGGCAGATCCAAGTGCCTGTCGGGACTTGTATTTCCGCCCAGCAAGGAAAGGTTTCAATTTCGAAACAAAAATAAATCACATGGGGCAAGGTCTGGAGAATACGGGGGTGAAGCAAAACAGTAACTATTTCTTTTTTCAAAACCGCCGAAACTATTGCGGAGGTATGAGCGGGGGCATTGTCATGTAGAAGACGGATATGTTAAAAACCAGTGTCAGGGCGTCGTTTCTAATAAAACATTTTTTCAGTTATACTTTTGCCCTTTTTCAACGGCACTTTTATTGCGACTCCTTCACTAGAGAAGAAAATTGCATACAAAACCTCATTTGCACTCAAAGACCGTTTGGCAATTATTGGGCGTTTGTTGTGTTTAGTGGCCCAGATTTTCTTTCTAATTTTTGTGACGGGCTCAAAATAATGGAACCAAGTTTCATCACCTGTGACGACATTGGCAAACTGTTTTTTGTCATATTTTGGAAACATTTGAAGCAGCTTTTTGGCCACCTTAACCCGTTGCCTCTTTTGCTCATCGGTCAACCGATGTGGCACCTATCTAGCAGAAATCTTTCTGACTTTCAAATGCTTCTTCATAATAAAGTGAACCGTTGACAGTGTTATGCCTACCTTTCGTGCAATATCACGAACTGTAAATCTGGCATCTCTTCAATGATATCCTTTATTTTTGAAACGATTTCGTTACGAGATGCAAATTTTGGCCTACCTGATTTTGGTGCATTTGTGATGCACTCTACACACCAGACTCAAATTTCTTTTTCCATCGCCTAACTGTGTCATAAGACACACAAGAAGGCCCATAAGCAGTAGCAAGTTCAGTCATCAACTGCTTCAAACCGCAACCCAGTTTTGAGCGAGCTTTGATGTAATCCCGTATTTCATCTTTTTTTTCGACGCTTCTACCAAACATTTTTACTACTGTGGTCAATGACTGCGTGTGTTTAAATGGCAAATTGTATGTCATACACTTAGTCTAACCGTTGTGTGGTTATTGAATTTCAATAACACTATCGTCTGAAGTAGCGTGAGTGTGTCTGAAGTAGCGCGGGTGTGTCTGAAGTAGCTGGAGTGTTTCTGAAGTAGCGTGAGTGCATTCAGTAAGCTGCAAAGGGAGCGTAAACCCCAGCAAGACCTAGCATGTACGACAGATGATTAGCCAGGACAAATAGAAATGTTTTAAAATGCATTGAACATATGATTAAACATTTGATAAATGATTGAGTAAGTTGTAACAATAAAAGTTACATCAATTTTAAAACAAAAACAATTATTGTATATCACTTAAGGATACATTATTTAAACTGAGTATTTTATATCAGGCAAAACAATATACCGGTATCTCAGTTATAAATGATTATTTTTGGGAAACAATTCAGAATTAGTTTTAGCCTGTTTGGAGCTTAAAACGTTAACATTGCTATAACACGACTGGAAATCAGGAAATTCAAATGGAAGCATAAAATTATCACATGAACACTGTTTATTTTTTCTAAATTTATTGACAAAAAGTAGAAAGCAAGCACGAAACAAATTGAATGTAATAATGAGTTGCATTTAACTACCATCTACTTTACATCAAATTTATCACAGAAATATAAATAGATAATTTTCAAAAAAATTAATAAATAAGTATAGGATATTCATTTTTTTTATATAAATACAATATTTTTTTTCATCGAGTGGTATAAAAAAATATTTCATAAGTGGCGGTAGTCACGAGTGAAATGCGATAATTTTTATACCACATTTATATTATAATTTGAATACTTCCCCTTTATTTTTTTAGCTGGATTTAGAAAAAGTAACCTGGCAAGACACCAATGAAAATGTATTTTACAGTGAATACACGGAAAACGAAAATGCTCATTTTATTCCATCAATATTTATCAATATTTCTCAATATTTCATGTGTAAGTATATAATAAATGTTTTACTCTTGCATACATACACTTTTTACGACAACTCTATATATAAGGTTTCAGAAACTAAATACCAGCGATTCAAAATTTTTTACATGAATAATGGTCGATTAAAGATTTAGCTTTCTCATTCATGTTTGCATTTCAAAATGTCATTGATAGAAGAATAGTTTATATTTTATCTTAAAAATAAAAATATTGTCTTCTTTCTTTTTATAAGTATAGTCTACTTTCACTGGCTGTGAAAATTCAAAGACTACAATACATAAAGACATCTCATTCATAATAAATTATTCATATATTCATGAAACATCATAATAGGTCGAAAACTATAGAAATAACATACAAATGTTTATCAGCAGTATAGATCTAGATCCAGTTGGCACTGCCTAGAGTCTGACCAATTATAAACTGTTGGTAGCTCGATTTTTGTATTTTGGCATCAAAATGTCTTGCACTGTTGTTCTTGTTGCTTTTTCAAATACATATATGTAAACTATTTATCAAAATACAAATCTAATAAAATGGCACAATTCAAACATTTAACGAAATATTTAACGAGATTAGTGTTTTAACTTAATATAAAGTGGGTAAAATAATGTTTTTACTATTGCAGATATACAATGGAAGCCACTTATGGAACTTCAGGCGAATTATCTCGCCTACCATTTTACATAACGTGTTTTTATCTAAATTGTATATTTATATTCTTTACTCTCAACATTTTACTAGTAAAGTTAACACAAGAAAATGAATCTGTACAAGAATATGTATGTAATAAGGTCTTACACTTTTTAAAAAGCATTTTCTTAAACTTTTCCTGCAGCTTCGGGCATTACGATGTTTTATCAAATTAAATACAAGTACTTTTAATCACACCTGCAGTGTCCTATGTTGGAAATGATCAGAAAACCATTGCATATGTTAGTTATTTATAGATTATGTGGAAACAAAATGATTTATAAAACAAGTGTCTAGTGTCATCCATGGCAATGCCGTTATATTACTCTTATCTTTTACACTGTCTGATGTCGGTTCTTATTGTGGTTGTCTTTTAATCCCCGTCAGTCTGTCTCCGAACTCCACCCTATATGAAGAAAATTATCTGGCTTAAATATTTTAACACTTATATTTAGAAACAAGGATAGGAATAAAAAGAAAGAATGATATTTACTGGACTTTCATTTCATAATGTCCGACTTGTTTCAATTACATTAGCAGGGTATACGGTAACCCTAAACAGACAGAAACTTAAATTTGCGACCAATTTAGATCAAGGCCAGCCGTGCAGTCTGACAAGGTTCACATACTGTTGGTAGTTATTTTTAAATTAGTTAATTCAGAAAGTTAAGATATTTCATTTACATTAAGCCTTCACCTAAACCTGGGTTAAACCAGCTTTGAAATGGAATAGCCAATACAAGGCTTAGGCAATTTCAATATCAAGATACAAAAATTAAACAACCAGATCTCATTTTCATTAACCCTTAACCTGCTGGGTTTGTCCACCTTTGAATTTGGAACAGCCAATGCAAGGTTTAAGCATCAAGATACAAAAATTGAGCGACCAAAAGTATAGAGCCTGGAAGAAGGAAGAACTGGACGAATATAGGCTGGTAGCAAACGATTAATTTTGCCACCATAAACATAAACACGAAATATTTAGTTACAACACATTTTTGTACGTTGCTTATCAAATATATTGGCAGAATAAGAAAGGATAAAGATTACGATTACGCGTATAGAATGAAATTCAAAATCCAATTATGTAAGCAATATCATTGCTTTTCCAAAGTATGGGCCAATTAATATAAAGTGATTACTTTGGGTGGCGGAAATCCTTTCTGAATACACCAACTGTAAAATGCCTTTTTGACATTTTCTACCTTGGGATCCGGTCCATTTACTTTGCAGTAGATGCGTACTAATTGTTCTGCGAATGTCTCTGGTAGAACATAAGACACCTAGAAATAGACACAACAAATTCAATTGTGATGATTTTAGTTCTCGCCTTCTTGGTTTAATATTTGTTTTAACTCCTATTTACTTTTCATACAAGTAATTGTTTCGCAACTGAAGAGCTAAGAGTGTATTTTCAGTCATATTTTTAGAAAAACATCAAACAAAGTACGCCCACTTAGCTCAAGAATGAGAGCACTGGACTAGCAATCCTGGGACTGCTGGTTTGATTCTTTGGCGAGGCGTAGTTTCTACGTGACAATTGATCGCAAACATTTAAATAGTCAGTCACATCAAAAAAAATGAAATTACTGGTTACTTATCAAGGATTGCCGGTTACGTAGATCGGCCGCCGAGGTATAACTAAACAAGTGTTAAAACCGGCATAAAAAGTATTTTAAATAAAATGTTAACATTTGCAGATATACCATTATAATTAAGTTAGTATTACTGCAATTTCTATTCCATTTGTTTGACTTTAATTGGATTGCAATATAGTTGTTAACTTATGAATAAAGTATAACTAAAATGTTGATATTTTTGTACTTTTGGCTATTTTATTGTTATCGTGATTAATATTGGTGTAGATTTATCTTTCCTTTTAAAGTAAATTATGTTTATTATGTAACTTTATATTTTCTTATTGTCTAGAAATATAAATAAAATAATTTAGATCTACCTGATGTCTTTCTAGCTTAAGTGCTTCATTCGGTTGGTCTTTCCTGTAAAACCGCACCTTCTCCAATGGGTCTTTGTCTTCCATCCCGTAGTCTAAATTCACAATCTAAAAAATTCAGATCAAGATTCCCGTCAAATACTCGTACATTTTAATGTAAGACATCTAGTTCCTTTTGGTAGTTTGAGACATCAATAATGTAAAACGATGGCAATCAAGTGATTCTGTGTATAGGTCCTGGAACTTTTGTAGCTTCTAATTTAAACTTTTATTCAAGTCGATAAATATGTACACTTTTTTATTTAGTTACATGACTGGAATGCGATAAGTAAAACCATAGTCAATCATGAGTATTAAATTACAACACATAAAGACCTTAAAACCTGAGGTATATAATATAAGAGCTTTATATCCACATAAGTAAGCAAATTCTAAAACCATTGATATATCCACGACTCGGCACATATACTAAGTTAACTTCCTTAATCCACACTAAAATTACTTTAACATAAGCATCTAGTAAACTTGAGAATGCTTATAATGAATAGACGTGTTAATATGGCACGTCCAAAGGAAGTTTTGTGCTACCATTTTGGGTTAAAATTCATGTTCACAATACCCAAAGCTTTCTGAAGTAAAATTATAAAAAATGGGTTTTTTAATTGTTTCTGAGCAACACAGCTGTGACAAAAAAGAATGTAATGTAATTTCTATTCAAGGTAATATTATCACCGATTCATCAGAACGAGATTTGGCACAAGAGAAAAAAGAGTAAAATGGGACATACATAAAGATGCACTAGAAATCTTTACAGCGCTGTTAAAAGTTATAAATAGTGTTTTGGTTGGTATTAGTGGGCGTATGAGAAATATATTTTCCATTATCAATCATGAAAATTGTCACCATCGTAGAACTGATTTGTTTGCAAAAATAAAACCATCACTCACATCATATTCTATAAATTTTTCTTCAATGGGAAACCCATCTTCTGTAAGGGACCTCACGATGTGTTCCTTGAATTCGTGTTCTATCAGCTCTCCTTTCTTGACAATAAAAACATATATCTTTGAAACCTAAGATACTTTTGTTTTAATATCTAGAACCTAAAAGTTCTGAAAAAAATGTTCTAACAAAATGTACAGAGAGCTGATATATAATGAATAATCAATACTCCCAGAATTTGAATCATGTCAGCCACACAGTTGGGACCGTTGGCAGCAGCATTTTAGATTTTAGTATTTATATCAAAATTTCTTTAATCACTTTCGGTCAAGAGGACATTCTCGTTACACAAACTTTATAATTTTTTAAGATAAAAAAACATTTAGGGGACTCTTTTTGACAGAGCTATTAAACACGTATGTTTATAAATAGTCAAGTTCAAACAAGTATAGTTAATTATTTATTTAAAAAGTGAGGTAATGAAACTTTCAACAAAGGCTTTAAATATTTGTACATACCTTAACCTGCGTTTGAGAAACAAATTTGTACAGCTTTCTTTCAAATATATCATTTAATATTGACCTAGCTGTAGTAAGACCATCTGTTTCAGACTGTCGTGATGCTATACCGCGAGTCGGGGGATAGAGAATGGAAAGGATTATGTCATCTGTCAACTGTGTAAACGCTTGCATGTCGTCAACTGTATCTGAAATGCTACAAGTTTCCCTTTTCATTGGACTTTCATGAAAAACAAGAGTTACAAAATGAATTCAGATACTTAAACAGAGCGACTCTTCAGAAAAAGTAAGTTATAATGACAGAGTGTTTCAACTTCTGTTTTCATCGGAATGCGACCCGCTTATCACAAACACCTGTTTAAGCACTTAATATTGAATCTTAACAAAATGATTTCAAATGTGTAGATAGAAATAGGAATTCAAGAGTAACACCTTAAAAAACGAAGATAAGTTGATAAACATATCGTAGATAACTTCCATCAAGTATAGCAACTAACTGATTCAATCTAATTAGATAGTTTAAGTTTTTATTCTTTGGGATATTGAATGAAATTACCTAAGGAATAGTGCCTTATGTCAAGTGTACTCCGTGATTTAAGTTTGAAGGTTGCCAAATGATCTTTATTTCTAACCCTATTTTTAAAATTAATAAATTTACCTTTTTCCAGCCAATCGAATACTTTCATTTGCAGCCACTAGAGCATCACATATCCTGAAAATGATATCGTGATTCTGACCTTTGTGAAAATGTTATTTGTTAACATGGAATCGCTAACTATAGGATGTAGTAGGATACAGCTATTTAATTGATTTAATTGGGTTTCATCATGTTTAGTATTTTTTGTTGTTTTTCAATATATTGTAACAAAAAAAATATGAGAACAAAAAACAACAAGCCAAAGGCGACGTTCACAGAATGCAGCCCCCGAACAAACGAGCCACAACAGCAGGGCACCAAGAAGCTCCGAACCAAAAACAGAAGAGGACACAGGGATGTTGTTAGGAGTGGAGGGACATGTCATTTGTGAAATGATAAGAACTAAAAAGGCCGATATGGAAAATTTAAAGGGCAAGGTCAGTAAGGGAAAAGGGGACAGGGCAGACAATAGGATAAGAGGGGGGATGGAAAGAATATACTGACCGTAAACGACAAATTAACATGGAAGGACATCACAAAACGCGCAAACATTCAAAATAAAACAATTAAAGCAATTGTTATTTCAGTAAACATTTTTAAGTTGTAAATTCTAGCATGAGCGTAAATACGTTTTGTATTACAAAAAGTTGAAGTATTTTGTATTTTGAAGCCGTATATAAATTTAATTTATAATCATCATATAAGCATAATAATCGTATTTTCACAAATTTTAATTTTCTGTATCTTTTAACTTTAAAACTGCCTTTTGAATTATAAATTTAAGTATTTTATTTACGTACATCATGCCAATGATAGAATGTGTTTTATGTTGATATGCCTGTTTATGTAGCGTCATTCTAGTGTAGAACATGTCGTAGAGATTCTGTGCTTCCTTATGAATAGATAATAAAATATATTGAAATGTTAAACCGTTTTCTTATTCTTGAAGTGTAATCCAAGAAAGCTGCCTTTGACACATTTATAAAGTTTCCTACACTTTTATTTTAAATTACACTTTTTCTTATTTCACTGCGCTGGCTTCCTTATCATTTTAACTACATATTATAAATATTTTTTCGTTTCATAAAAATGAGTATTACTAAATGAAATGTATATTTGAAACTTAACAAATTTAATAGAGTGCGTTTTGTCGACTTGCATGCAACTTTACCTTTTCTCTATAACATATTTGTTTTCTGGGTACGATATCTCTTCTCGAGTCGGTAGATTCATTTTCATTACTCTCCCCATTTGGCCCACTTAAACCATTGACTCTCAAAACTCGTGCAGTGGCAAAACATCGATGGTAGTCAAAGTTTATTTTCACTCCTAGCATATAGCTATCACGTGCCAGATAGTCCCACTTGTCTACGTCAATTCCGTTCCTCTTGTTAGCTACTATCTAAATATAAAAAAGACATTAATTTTCCTTATTTCCTTATTTTTAATAATTTATATACCTACATTGTAATATATTTATTATCATTTAATATTAGTTATCAAAGATTATCACAAAAACAAACGATATTAAGATATGGTCTTTAGATTAGTAATAAAAAATTATCGAGCATTTTTTGTTATAAATATAGGATGAACATTTTCCCAAAATCAAACCAGTCTAATAACAGATCGAGTTGAAAACGTGCTGAAAAAAATGACATGGAAGACAGTTAGCAGAAAGACCGTGCGAATATTGATGTTTTCTGTGCGGGCGATCCTTTAAAATTAGCCCGGTCTATTTTAGACACTGTAACAAAATGGAGTGAAAATAAAAGAATGTGTAAACAACAAGCTATAAATGTTGGCGGTTCAGTGATTTTGAGGAACTGTAATAAGAAGAAATAATTACCTCATACATATAGCTTTTGTTTTCTTCTCTACCTTTATATGGCCAAGGCTGTAATATATACAGGTTTAAAACTATCAATATCATAAATATTATTATGCACAAACTGTAGATACATTATTAATTTGATTTTGTTTGAATACGCGAATGTTCTAGCTTATGTAGTTATAAACAAATGTGAAATATTTTCAAAGAAAAGCAACTTAGGAATTACAAAATATTTCTTAGCGACTTTTAAATATGAATGTACAAAATGTTTGCAGCTATCTTTCTTAAAGACGGAAGTTCGTTCTTTTTATGTAATGCTGTATTTTTTAAATTGCAAAGGCAAAAAACAACTATAAAGAATGCACTTACTTTATTATATCTATTTTAAATTATTGCAAGATTAAATTATTATGTGCATATACATGTGTTTATATAAACTACCCCTATCTCAAGATCTTTTGGTACATCAATCATTTCTTTGATGAAAGTAAAGTCATCTTCTGTGAATTCTTCAAAATTCGGTATGTTGCATGCGCCTATAATCGCCTGAATCTTATCTTTGATTTCTCCATTATTTTTGTCTAGCATGTATTCGAACAGTTTTCTTGCCATAGTTTCATGCTGCAAAAAAAATAGAATTAAAAATATGCATTCTTATGATTTTGCTCAAAAATACACTTTTCTTATTTTTAGTTTCTTTTTCTTTTCTTTCTTTTTTTCTTTGGTTTTGATTAATAGTGGGGGTTGTTTTGGTTTTTGCATTTGTTTTTTATCGTGGGGGGTAAAAATATATTAATGAATAATACTGAGAATATATTCCTACATATTGGTATACATATATTATATGACGCTGAATATATTTTATTACGTTGTTGAGCATATAATGAATAGTTCCTTTTCATAAGGAATGTTATGGAATGGAATTTTACCTTAAATTCTTTTCTCATTTTAGGCATAAACCGCTTTTCAAAGACGTGCGAGAAAGGCCCTTGTCCTGGATTACAAAATATACATAAAAAATTATTTCATCAATACTTTGTTCAAGCTTAGATAAATAAAACATGTTAGTTAAGCTTCCGGTATATTTGTTTTGTTTATAAAACGTATTTCAAACAATGTGTAAATAATAAGCTTATTTAATGAGGAAATTGCACAATTTTCATTACCGCCTTTCAGTTTCTTTCCCTCTTCTCGAGGACACTTACAAAGTTACAGAAAAAATGAATCAGTCCTAATCGCCTATCAATATGCTGGCTCAATTTGACTGGGATGCTCGCTACCGTACAAGCCTTGCAACTCCTTGAACATAAAAAGGTCTTTCATTTAGATTCAAGAAACATCTAAAGAAAGAACAACATAATAGCGGTTAATGAAGTACCTAAATCGTGACAGAGTCCAGCTATTTCTACACACAGTATGTCTCTATCTGTTATTGGTTCTTCCGGTTGCTGTTCCCGAATAGTTTTTAACAATTTTCCGGCTAAATAGCTTACTCTGAAATCAACATTTCAGTCCCAAAAGTAAATAAAAACATAAACAAATATTTTGTTACGATATTGGATCAGAAATACATATCTCCGGTTTGGCATGAACATCATTTGAATGTTTTAGAACTTGATAAGCATTATAATGGAAAGAAAACGTATAACCAGGAGTTATCAAGTCATCCACTGTGACATTAAAACTTCATTGTAGTTTTTCAAAAGTTCTATTCTACATGCATTTGTAAAACAAAAATATTTAAGGGTTTAAAAAGGGGTCACTTTTGAAAATATACTTACCCTAATGAGTGTTCAAACCTATTATGACTTGCACCAGGATAAACTAAATAGCATGTGTCTAGTTGTTTGATATGACGTAAGCGTTGGAACTCTGGCGTGTCAATAATTCTCACGCATACTGGATGGACGTCAATAGTTCCATGGATCGGGTCGTTGAACATCTAACACATACAAACAAGTTTTTTTTTAAATGAACACCAATACTTCAATGGATCGGGTCGTTGAGTATTTACCACAAAAATTAATAACATTAATTCAATGAATAGGTCATTGAATATCTAACACACAAAATAAATTTTAAAAAAATGAATGCAAATAGAACAAAGGATCGGGTCGTTGAATATTACCACAAAACTTAATTGGACCGGGTCGTTGAATATTACCACACAACTTAATAACATTAGTTCAATGAATAGGTCATTGAATAGCTAACACACAAAATAAATTTAAAAAAATGAATACAAATAGAACAATGGATCGGGTCGTTGAGTATTTACCACAAAATTTAATAACATTAGTTCAATGGATCGGGTCGTTGAATATCTTACACACAAAAATAAATTTTAACTAAATGAATACAAATAGAACAATGGATCGGGTCGTTGAATATTACCACAAAACTTAATAACATCAGTTCAATGGATCGGGTCGTTGAATAATACCACAAAACTTAATAATATCAGTGCAATGGATCTAACTGCCTTGGAGAAAAATAACGTTTTTTTTATTATTTTTTATTTATTCATTTATCGTACATGTCACTTTAAATACTTGAATGTGTTTACAAAATGTCAATTCCATCTTTTTAACAAAGAATTATTTCTAAGATTTATAAAAAATCATGTGACTTAAAACATTTTCTTAGATTAGATCAGAACCTGGAATATGGAAGATAATATGCAGAAATGGCTCGTGAATAGATAGATGTATACATGAAAACCCAGATAGAACCGCTAAGAAATAAATGTTTACATTAGAATTGTCTGGTTGTTTAGGTTTACAAGTTAAAATGAAGATCTGACGATGTGTGTTGATTGTGATATATATTCACAAGGTAAAATGAAGTTATACAGGTGGGAAAATTTAGCGATGAAAGATAAATTGGCTTCCGCAAAGCAATTGGGCGATTGAAACGGTATAAAATGAAAACTTGAAGCGAAAGTATTTTTCGTTTGTTAAACTGTTTGTCGTTGTTATAAACACGTTGCTGCTGAAATGATTTTTCTGAATATCTGAGTATTACTGTCTTTCTACATATTTTACTCATGGATTTGTATATTTAAAGATCTTGCGAAAAGAATGGTAAACTGACTTTGACAATACCTTTCTGTTCATAAAGATGTTATTTGTTGACATGGGCTGCATTCTACCTGACACTTCAGTTCCGGCGGCCGATGTAGCCATTTTTAACTGTACAAAAGAGATAAAAAAAAAGCTATATATTGTTTCCCCGACAACAGGTGAATCATTAATAATGAACTTTATTCGATTTTATGTAGTAATGCAGATAATGATTATTTTTGTAATTCCATATTACACGCTATATTTCATAATTTTCGGTATTCAATAATTTGACACCGTTTATAACCAGACTTTAGTAATAAATCGCGATCAAGGATGAGTGATTGAAAATAATCAATTGGCCAAGATTTAAAAAAAATAACGTCCTGGAAATAACCGATCGCGGTTTGCTACAATATTGCCGATGTAACATTTTTTTGGCTTGAAAGCATGACAGTAAGACTATCTTAATTGCGTAATTACGCCATTCGTTTCGCGTTATGTACTATATATGTTTATTTGCGTTATTCAGAGGAAAGATCCATCAAAACATGTAGCCCTAGATCTAGATTTATATCATTTACACGACTCGATATAATTCTGTAAATTTAAAGACATACTTGCTCAAATTTAATATAAAAAATATTGATAATTTGTACAAAATTTCTTTGTGAATATATAATAAGCATTATTTGACTGCACGCAAAGTAGATATTTTATTTTTCAAATTCTACACGCTATAGATGGTCACGATATGAATAGTGTCATTAAAATACTGGCAGTTTTTTTTTTTTGGAAAACTTTTTCTTGATCTATACAAGGCAACGCAGCTTCCCATTCATTGTTTATTCATTTTATGTTATTCAAATTCATATTCAGTAAAAATAACATGAATTTCAATTAACTAAAATATTTTACTCAAGGATGACCATATCATATCTTTAACATTGTTTCTAAAATTTCTGCTTCCATGTCTTTACAGCAGATTCAAGTCAAGTCAGTTTCGAAATTTCTGAGTGTCATGTTTTGGGGTTGGGCACGGTTATTGGATTGTTTTCTTGAGTTTCTAAATCTTCAATGTTAAGCTGTGTTGATTATTGATTATGTCATATAAAACTTAAAATCGCGTGTGCAACGGACTACAGTTCAACACCAAAAGCCATCTTGAAAGTCACTATGTGTTGATTACGTCATTCTGCACGTGCGCTCATTCACTCGTTATAATAATACCGAGTAGCAAGGCCAAAATTATATAATGACCTAAATCCTACCATAGTGGCATTGAATAACTCTTTACTTTATATAGTAACATAGGTATAAATACGCCTTTATTCGCGTTATTTCGCGTTACTATGCCCTTTTTTGCGAAATTACGCTTTTTCGCATTATATACTATGCTCCTCTTAGTTCACGGTACTTATCGCTTTGAAACCTGAAAGAAAACAACAAATGAAACTTATGGTACAAAAATTGTCACAATCTATAACATATAGGTACTTTCTGCTTAATGCCACAAGAAAACAACAAGATATTCAGTCAAAGTTAATTTTAATGGACCAAACGTAGACCATATGTCGGCCATTTTGAAAACAGTATGTCATCATTTAAATCACGATAATGGTATTCAGTTTTTTCATGTTTCGGTTAAAATTTATACATGTTACTTTGCTTGATTTTAAATATTAAAATTCAAAATTTATTTTTTCAACTAACAAGAATATTTAGAAAATGATAATTGTTTCAGACATACGCACAAATTTAATGTACTGTTATTGCTTTTTGCAGAAATTTATAAAATGTTGTTCTGTTTTACGTAAACATCTAGAGATTTAAAATATTTTGCACAAAAACTTTGTTGCATGCGTGTATGAATAAAATATGTCAATTCTGACCAATTTTAAAACTGGTAACATGTATTATGCCATTACCGTGGAATAAGTGATGGCGCGGAATTAGTGATGTTGAGTATAATGCCTTTCTAATATTTTTTCTTGATACTATTAGGCTTTCGTATTTTTCAGTGTAAAGATATAAACAAAAAGGTCCTTAACAAAGGCCAGAGAGCTATGAATTTCAGTATAAAGTGGAAATATAAAAATGTCGATATTTTTGTTTGCTTGTGATAACTTTATATCAAATACTACGTCATTGAAAAAAATGACTAATAAGAGATATCGTTTGTCTTTATCTCCATAAAGATAAGAAACGTTTGTTCAAATAAAGAAGTTGATAAAAATGAATAAAACGAAGCCGTAGTAGTGGTGGTAAACATATCATTAAATGAAAGCACTTCTACTGATTCGTATTTATCAATTAATATATCGCCTTGCACATGATTACAAAATTAACAATGCATTTTTCATGTGTCATTCTAATATCCCACAAAAGATTATTTATTAGCTCCCATAATCTGGATCGCCAATCTATTTAAAGCTGGAGACTCCAACACAAATAGAAAAATGTGTCGCACATGAAAATGTCTAAATATTTGCACAGGCTTTGAACAACTTTATTTGTACAATGTTGAGTCATATTGTGCGGTTAACATGATATTTTAACCGTTATTGCATCTATTTTGTAAGAGAATCAGTCATGATTTATGCATGTTAACTAATGCGCTTGTTTTTCCTTCTTGTTGTTTTTAAGCATCATGCCTCTAGTTCCATGCCAATATTCATGAAAAAATTTAAAATGTGTTTAAAAGTAAAATACTGTGAACAAAAGTTGTTGTAGACATTGCAAATGACACTTAAAATCTACGAAAATTATCCAAAGATATGTCGAAATATGTTGATGAATACTTCATATTCAGTCATTAATTGCATATAGCATGTGAATTATTTCTTGAATTGTGAATACTTTTCTTAAAATCTTAGTCCATTGTTCACGAGGTTGATTTCTTTAAATACTCTTGCTCACCTGGAGGCATGCAGCTTTAATGTATTTGGTGTAAATTATTATCTTTCATAGGGAAAATAACATTAATGTAAAAACTTTGAACACGTTGAGGATATAAACATAGTGATGAAATTTTCATCATTTTTTTTTAATTTTATTTATCTATTCATTATCAATATTTATTATCAAAACCATCATCAGGATTATCATTATCATCATCAACATCATCATCATTTTCCTCACAATCATATTCTTCTTGTTATTACAAACCATTTATTTTTGTTTTCAAAAAAAAAATCTTATCTTCAGAGCTCAAATCGTGTAGTTCATCTTAATGGTTACCAATCATAAAAGCAGAGATAACAAATATCTAACATTTTGTATAATAAGTACATTATAAGAATCGCCCAATATAAATTGATTGTTGATACTTTCATATATCAACAGATAGAGAGAGATAGCTATGTACAGATTAAAGACAAGAGTTAATTATTTTTTCAATAAAAGAGAAGAAAAGTGTTACCAAAGATGAATACTTTTTATTCCAGAATATAACGTTCTCGTTTGCACTTATTCCTCATATCTATAAATAACCCAAAGTGATGCTGAGAATTTTACCTGAAGTTTCCAGGTAAATGCTAACACTTGAACCGTAAGTGGCGCTATAATACAACAAGGAAAAAACAATATCCAATATCTAACAGGACGGTTAATCATTCAAAACGATTTAATATGCATTTATACGCATTAATAACCCAACTAGTGCGTAATATTTGTTAGTGCTTATTAATAGAAATTTCAACAATTAATTGTAAGAACACCAAAGGAAGCGACAAGTAGGGAGGGACCTTATTGTTAAAATTCCTCTTAATGAAAACTAACTTACTTAGTGTTTAATCTTATTTTACCACGCTGGATCACCTTCAGCCTATATAGAAAGGAAGTTTCATTAATCAGTTTGTCAATAAAAAAGCAAAGGTAAGAGTGCATATTATTAACATCGTGTACCTGAAAAATATCGGACGTGAATACCTAAGCGTTCTCTATACGAGTTTCCTTGCTGGGGATTTGAGGACAATGCCAATGTCCAGAGGGTTTGAGGACAATGCCAATGTCCTGAGGGTTTGAGGACAATGCCAATGTCCGTCCTGAGGGTTTGAGGACAATGTCAATGTCCTGAGGGTTTGGGGACAATTCCAATGTCCTGAGGGTTTGAGGACAATTCCAGGTGAAATATACTGTAATGACCCATATACAATGTGAAAAGAGGAGTAAAACTTTATTCTTGTAAATGTGTGCGTAAATTGACAAATGTTTAGATGACAATCATCATCCATTTGCAATTGTGATCAATCTATGTTAGTTCAAAATGATCAAAATGTTAGAGGTGTGTCTATATTTTTTTCACGGGATTATAAACAAAACGACCCCGCCACAAAAAGCGGTAATTGGTGAACCTTTACTGATTTAGACATGAACAATATCTTAAACAGTATGTCGCCAATGGCTGGTTGTCTATGGTTTATGAGGGCGAATCCGGCCTTTCAGGCACTGAATGCTGCTTTTGCTGTCGATTAAGGACCCGCAGATGTCAACATTCAAGCCCTGAAAAACTTAATTTTAAATCACAAAGTGGTGATAATGTACCACGAAGTATAAACAACAGATATGAGTTTTGAGTCAAAAGTATGTCACTGCACGGTGGCCAATGAGAAGCTGAATGTACAGTAACCTGAGACAATATGAAAAGGAGGTTGCCCTGATAAGACTATTATGCCATCAAAGGGTATGGCTTTCAAGCCGTTACTCTCTGTGCTAGGGGATCACGCACCCTAGCACACTTTCTTCGTCGTTCCTGCCTTCTTTGTGGGGGCATCCCCACGGCATTAGTCAGGATATTGACAGGTAATCGTGTCTGACGCACAATAGTGATAGTGTGATTGATTAATGTAGAAGGAGGAACACAAAACAAGCATTTCGAACTGACAATTATATGAAAAAGCTTTAAAAAACACACTTGAAATATGACTTTATAGCTTTGTGGCCAAGTTTGCCATTAAAAGGTATAGAAAAGATTAAGAATTCTCTCTTACGACCATGGACCTGACATTGACATTTACATTGTTTTAAAAGAATGTGGAAATATATCTATTAGCAAATATAGAGGTCAACATAATTGCAAATGAAATAATTCATATAAAAACTAAAGGAATTTTAATAATATATATGAATTCGACGTTAATTATCATTCTGCAAAAAGTGAATACACGTTATTATGCATCTTAAGTTTTCAGTTTACCTGATTTTATCCTTGATCCAACTGATGCCGAACAAAAACATTTTAAATCACATAATCATATTTGCATAATTTTCAAAATACAAATGTATTGAGTAATTTTGATGGGTAGTGGGCAATGAAATAACACACTTTTTATCCACATGTAAATGTACGTCACACTATTTGTCACTTCACAAAATCAATAAATATTGATGAGATTGGTATATGTTAACGTTACTTCAATTACGATTTTCTTAATTTCACGTGATTAACTATGGTATTAAAACGTCCCCGTTGAATGATATTGTAAACTAGCTAGAAATAAACAACCGGTCACGTGTCAATCTGTTTGACACTTACCGCCTTGCCAATCCACTTATTCAAAGGAAGTGAAGAATACAAATTTTGCAATATTGATTATTGAGTAATACAGTGGTAATAAAATTTAAACTTGAACTCCCTGCTGTTTCAATTTAAAAAAGTCGTCTAATGATATTTTAAAAAGAGGACTTTTGTACATGCGCTTTTTACATTGAATTATTAGTCCCTCATAGTTTCGTATATTCGTTAAAGATACAATTCACGTTTTAAATACTTACTGCTTTAAGTCATCTTAAAATTACTGTCTTCTGGGTGACATAACTTGAATTCACGTCTATTTATACCCTTGAATATGATAAATTGTAGTCATCGTTATTGCGTTTTTGTCCAACGCAGAATGCACATGCTTGAAATGAAACCTACGTTACTATGGAAAAATCGTATAGTAAAAAGGTCTATATGTATAGAAATTGCCAATTTAAACATTCTGCTAGATGGCAAAATATTAGTATAATTGACGATATCAAAATAAATGATAAAGTACAAACGTTTAGCAAAATGATAACCAAGAAAAATGTTAAAGAATGGTTTAACGAAGAATGTATTGAAAAAGCAACGTATATAAAAGACGGCGTTCAGACATTATTTAACATTATTTTACACGGATTCATTAAACAGACTGCACCAGCTTAAACGTGACTACAAAATGGTCCCTACAAGATAAGTGTAAATCGTGCAAGAAAGCATAATTGTGAACCGTGTCGTGGAATGTACACAATGAGAAGAAGAAGCCCCCGCAAGTTCTGGAGAAATTTTAAGAATGTCTCTGGTTTAAGACTAGTAGTTTGTCAAAGATATATCAAACGAGCAATTGGGTGAACATTTTAAAGCATTAGAACATGACCATAATACACCGGATGATGATATTGAAGACTTCTTATGTAAGTTTGGTGAACGTGATGAAAACAGTACATATGAGGAACTCAACACAAAGGAAGTGTTAAAAGCATGGTAACCATTAAACAGAAATTAATCGCCTGGAGATTATGCAACTTTAATTGAATATTTAATTGAAACTTGTGGTCTGTTAAAATACAGCTGTTAACCATGTTGTTTAACATTATCTTTGAATCGGGGCAATTCCCTGCAACTTTGTCAAATGGAGTTATCATACCACTGAAAGTTCATGAAGCGAGTCCTAGATGTGGAGTTATCGACAAGTAGCCACGGCATACATGGTGAAACGGGAGGCACCCACTAGTTCTAAACAGAAAAGTTCGAATTGTTAGATTTTGGTTGAAACTATTTAACAATGAACAACGGAACTGTACTGTCTAAAATGTATATGAATCAATGTTGCAAACCGCTGGAAATGGACAGCAAAATTGGGCTACCAAAGTGATGAATGTGGGTTTGGAGAAGTATGGCTTTATCCGCATTCGGTAATGTGCATTGTACAATAGACTGGCAAAATATTTCATAAAAGCGTTTGAAGAAAGTATTACTCTTAGATGCAAGCTAATCAAAATTCTGAATTCATATTTGATCATATCAAATGGCCATTATAATGATGTAACCATAGTTGGCATAATTGGACATGACTGGTTAGATGTATCAAAGCAGAATCTCTTAAATTTACTACTAATGTAGGCTTTGTACTTATCTTCTTTGCATTCATTTCTTGTATATGCTCTCATAACATACTTTTATGCATGCTTGTAAAATCGTATTGTTTAATAAATCTGATGTTCATATACGATTTATTAATAAACTTATGTTATGTATTTTTGTGTTATTCTTAGTCCGATTTGAGTGAAAAACATTGCAGCGCTTTTCAATTTGCGTCATTTTGCACAATAAAATAATTATTAAAAAAAAAAAGAGTGAGCGGGTAATCTGAAAATTTGCACACATGTTATTGGTGTAGACCTTCATAGTAAATGAAACATTAATTTCGAAAAATTATTTCCAGTCCCGCCATGTCAAATATCCTCAGTGGAGTCCCTTTTACGTGACATAATGACCCTCCATTCATAAATGGTGAGCGCAGAGGTTAAAGTCAAAATAACCTGATAGTTAGCCATAATTGTATTCAATATTATATTTTACCTTGCAAAAATAATGAATTATCCACGTTACCTACGGACATTTCTATAAATATCGTTCGGAATGTATCGGTTAATTTCAATTTTCAAAAAGAGTGAGGCAGTCTTTCTATAATTTAGGAAGTTTTTACAGTTTATCCTTAACAATTTTCATTATCACTTATCAATCAGTCGACAATATGATTGTCAATCTCTTGAAATATATTACTAATTCAATCTTTCAAAGTTTTCCCAATCTTCAAGTATTTCAAATGGGGTCTTTTTGCTGACCCTGCTGGCAACAGCAAAAATAAGCATAATGTCATTTTAATATTCATATTCTGCTTTTAGTTATATAAGCAGGGAGCGAAACAAGATTGTTTTAAATCTAAAGATCCTAGGATATACAACTGTCGTAAAAATCTTCATATTTCCTTAAACTGTGGCTGAAACAACATGCAACGGGAAATCATCGTTTGAATATTTCCTCATTGTATTTTTGTAGTTATTGTAAGGTCAATGATATTATGTTAATACCGATTGTTTCAGTTTATTTCGGTGATATCTTCCGTAATATCTGAAAGGCTGTCAGATAAAAGAAAAAGTGTTTTATCTCTCCACTTTTTTTGTAATAAATTTCTAATTTTATTTATTTATTTATTTATTTAATTAATTAATTATTAATTTATTAATTTACATGTATTTATTTATTTGCTTGTTTATTTATTGTACGGGGGTTTCTTTTTACATTTTTCTGCAAATGCCACACTGGAAACGTTCCTTGAAATACATACTAATAAATATGTAATATGTATATTTATTATTTAATGTTGCTTAATACAAGGAATTTTGTATCAGATTTTACTGAGTATAACTATTTGTCAAATGTCTTATGGATTATGCAATGTATGTCTCTGATAGGTTTAGCTAAAATAGTGATACATGTATCATCAATACGTATTTTTGAATAAAATAGAAAACATAGCAT